TGCTCAGCCAGGGTGCCCCGCCAGGGCGCCCCACATGGGCAGGCACAGAGGAGAAGCCGCCCAATCAGCTGAAGCGTGGGGTAACCTTTTTCAGCTGAAAGCCACAGCCAGCTGGCCGGGGTGATTCAGCCCTTCCGACCTCCCAGCTCCCACCATTCCCCGCAGCTACTCACCTGTGTTGTTGCTCGGTGAGTAGCTGCTCCTCAAATGACGAAATCAAATTTAAATGTACTGCACAGGCACGCAGTTCAGAGAGGGCTCAAGAGCGACTCTTAGAACCCCTGAGATCAACCAGTAGATCGCGATCTACTGGTTGGTGACCACGGGTCTAGACAGTATTTGGTCCTGCCATGAAGGCAGGGGACTGGACTCTATGACCTCTCGAGGTCCCTTCCAGTCCTAGTATTCTATGATCTCTGCATCCCATCCTGAGATGCTGCGTACCTAGACAATATGGGGATAAACACCCTTATTATTGCGGTTTTTTTATTTTTATAGCCTCTCTAATCTCCCTTAGCATTTCACAGTCACCATCCTGGTCAGGTAGTCAGTAATACATCCCTACTGCTACATTCATATTACTATAACATGGAATTACTAACCATAAAAATCCTAAGGAAAAGTTTGATTCATTTATGATTTTTACTTCATGTCATTCTATGCTTTCTTTCACATACAGTGCAACTCTCTGGTATTACTTTGTTCCACTGATTATCCTCATTCCACCAAGTTTCTATGATGCCTATTATATCAATTAGGGCTGTCCATTAAACACACATTAACACCTGCAATTAACGCAGGGCAGAATTAATGCATTAATTTTTTAAACACATTAATCGCATGTGTTTCCACAGTGCTGCCCCTTTCAAATGGGCAAAGCGGAGCGAAGCCAGGGTCAGCTGGAGTTCCCAGCTGACCCTGGTATCCATGTAGTGCTGCCCCTTTGAAACACCACCGCAGCATTTCAAAGGGGCAGTGCAAGTGGAGCCCAGGATCAGCTGTGCGACGCTGCCCCTTTGAAACATCACTGTGGCACTTCAAAGGAGCAGTGTCGCAGGAGCCCAGGATCAGCTGGAGTCCCCAGGTGACCCTGGGCTCTGTGCAGCGTGCTCAGCTGATCCTGGCATCCTCTTGGCAGTGTTTCAAAGGGGCAGCACTGCATGGAGCTCAGGGACATCTGGGGACTCCAGGAGTCAGCTGGAATCTTATTATTGTTTAACAGCACAAGTAATCACAATTATTTTTTTTGCTTAACAGCCCTAATATCAATATACTCATTCAAAGCAAGGTACTCTACTTCACCCATCTATTTAGACTTCTAGTGTGAACATTTTTGGCTATCAACTGTATTTATGCAAAAGCAGTTTACTAAATAGGATAAAATGTTCCTTTGGCAAACAAATTGGGATTGTAGAAGAAAACATACAATACTCCTACATATCTGATTAGATTATACACTCAGACCTGATATACTCTTAAAAGTTAGCTTAAATCAGGCATGTCCAAAGTCCGGCCCGCGGGCCAATTGCGGCCCGTGTTCCGGTTTAATACGGCCCCACAGGTAATTTGGCAATATCTATCTTTTATGGCCCCCAACGAATCCATATGTATTGAGATGAATACATTGTAAAATCTCAGTTAATGTCAGTTGGTCTAAATCAGTTATAAATATATTTGGACACAACATGTATACTTGGTGTTATGTTCCTGTTCATATTTTTTGAACTTAAAAGTTGACAGACAACCTTTATTACCAATAATATGTAATATACTTTACAATGTTCCTGACATATATTTCAGCTTCTTGGATTTTTTTTTTCATCTGGCCTTCAGATATGAAAGGCAGAGTGATTTAACACCTGTTTAGATTTGTCATCCATATGACAAAATGAAAAGTATGCTGTTTGCAATAAACTTTGCATAAAATAGTTAATTTGCATTTAATTTTAATGGTTCAAAGAATGTCAGGCAAAATGGTCGGCCCTCACGCATGTTCACTTCATCAAATCTGGCCCTCGTTGAAAAAAGTTTGGACACCCCTGGCTTAAATGCACACCCCAAAGCACCATAGCCATGCTGATCTAAACCAAGTGTATATGCAGCTAGATCAACAGATTCTTCCAGCAACTTAGCTAAGCTGCACAAGGAGAGGCATTACCTACAGCAATGGAAAAACCTCTTCTGTCACTAAATAAAGCATCTACACCACAATGCTATAGCAGCATACCTACAACAACATAGCAGTACCACTGTAATGCCCATACTATAGCCAGGACCTTAGACATTACACTATGATAATGCGTGCTATAGAAAAGCCTCAAATATCTAACCTTTCAGAGGTTTATTCTAGAATGATACAGGGATGTGAACGGGTACATGTTTCAAGGGTAAGCCTGGGCTTATCGGTTAATGTGCACGGTTACATGCAGCCTCCCTCCCTGCACTGCTGCCTCTATCACTAGAATGATACAACAGCTCAAACAACTCTTTCCTTGTGTTTACAGATTTTAATCTTTTTTCCTTTTTTTTTAAAAAAGAAAAGACTTTAATTATCATAAGGTCCAGTACTGATAAGACATTGTTTTGAGGCCACTAGGACATTATATTGAAGAGATGACAATTCCCCAAAAACAGAAAAAAGCTGGTCACATCACTTACCCATAGTACTCAAAATCAGTCTAACAACAAGTATTTTGCAGCAGACTAGAATATTCTAATATTCATAACAGATGCCAACTATAGGGGCAGCAATATACCTATACCCACCATTCTCAACTTGGGGTCAGGGGACTTATGGGAGCCTGCATATTATGTCTAAACAGATCCACATCACTATTCAAAACATTTTAGGCACCCACAAATGAACAAAGATTGAGAAAGTCATCTATGCTACACTGCATTTTAGCTTTGTCAAGTTTCCTCTGATGCAATACACAAAGCATTTTTTCTTTACAAGAAATGGCTTCACAAACACAAATGTTATTCCATGGTTTCTTCCTTGGCATCAACTCAGAACAACTGCAATACAGTTTATAGAAATTACATTAGAACAGCAAATTTATCCAAATCTAAATTTATGAAAGAATGAAAATGAAACGTCCAGTTCAGTCAGGGAAGATGTGGCCCACTTCTAGCAGCTGATGTAGAAGTGTGAAAACCAAGAGAGGAGAAACTGCTTTTGTAGTTGGCTAGCCATTCACAGTCTTTGTTTACTCCTAAATGTATAGTGTCAAATTTGGAAATGAATTGAAGCTCTGCAGTTTCTCTTTGAAGTCTGTTTTTGATGTTTTTTGTTGCAGGATGGCTACTTTTAAATCTGCTACTGTGTATCCAGGGAGACTGAAGTGTTCTCCTACAGGTTTTTGTATGTTACCATTCCTGATAACTGCTTTGTGTCGCCTTTATACCTCCACATCAGCTGCTAGAAGTGGGCCACATCTTCCCTGACTGAATTGACCTCGTTATCTCTGGCCTCCCTCTTGATTGGTACTTCTTTCTTTTCATGTGCCTGTATATTTATGCCTGCTTCTAGAATTTCCACTACATGCATCTGACGAAGTGGGTCTTTGCCCACAAAAAACTTATGCTCTAATAAAAGTGTTAGTTTATAAGGTGCCACGGGACTACAAAATCCAAGTAATGGAAATCTAAAGAATTTATACACTGCACTGCTCCAAAAAGTGCTGAAGCAGCAACTCTTTTGATGAAAGCAAAGGATTTTACCAAATGTTTCAGTGAAATATTTAAAAATCATAGGAGGGTAACAGGAAAAAAAGAGCTCTGGATCTTTAGGTTACTACTTCAAGGTGCACTATAGAAAATTGAGTTTAAGTCTTAAAGTTTGTGAAGTGTCTGATCAAAATCAAAAGTTTAGAAAGCAAGGATCTACTACTGATACTAGCTGATAATTCTGTAACCAGTCTCTGTAGAACCCAAAATTAACACAAAGACTGAAATCTTTCATCATTAGGACAGTCCCTCTGTCAACAGATAAGAGGTGCAAAGAAATCTGCTATTGTTTCTACTCTGTCCTTTAAGGGAATAGATTTTTTGTATCTGCACTAGCGTAAAGTGAGCAATTTAAGCCAGCATCAATGTCACTGCATTTTTTTATTTCAATTTTTACTAATGAAGTCTTTCATTGATTCTTAAGCTTTCATCCTGTCTGGGTCTTGTCTAGCTTTCTGAGTCTATCACTTTATCTATTCCAGGATGTTTCAATGCCACTTACCAATACAAAGGGCACTCTGCTTCTGCCTTTTGGGTGTCAGTTTGTCAACACTGCCACCTTCCAAGATAAAGGATCCACGTGGCAGGTGAGGAGAGGGGAGGAGGAGGAGGAGGAGGACTGCAGCAATCTCTAAATGGTGCAGTGCACTCCAGAGCCACCACTACTCTGCCCTGAACCCAGAAACCACAACAGAGGAGACAAATCAAAAACACTTTTCATCAATGTGAATAACTCATGAAAGAGAAACCCAAGAGACCTGTACTGGCTGCATGATTTTTAAATCTCATTTCTGGGGTCTGTAAGCAGGATGTGACACATCTTTCAATTCACAGCCTTCTCTAATCCAAAATAACCTCAACATGTAGAAAAGGACTCAGCCTAGCAGATTGCAATGTCAGGATAGGGAAACTTGCAGCCTCTTTATCACAAAGCCAACGTTGTAGGAAACGTTCTTCAATAATCCAAAAGCCTCATTCAAACCTTCTTATCAATCTAAGACACAGATTTGGGCCACTGCTAGCCGGGGAAAGGGGAAGTTTGAGATACTGAAGCTGGTGAAGGCAAGGTTGGGGAGAGGTGAATTGGTGCCTGACTTCTCCCCAGCTCACCCAGCCTCCATCAGTTTCAGGGACTTCCCCATGGGACATCTCTGCCTGCTGGCGTGTGTATGGGCGCGCATACACCCCCACCCCGAAGGCGGAAGAGCCGCCACCTGCCGCCCCAGCGGCTCAGCAGACGTGGCACTGGCAGCCGCCCCCCAGGCCAGTACCTGTTACTCCAGATGCCGTAGAGCAGCTCCACGAAGGCGAAGGAGAGGTTGAGGCAGAGGAAGAAGAACAGGTTCCGCGAGGTCTTGTCGGACAGGATGGACCTAGGCACAGGGCACGGCGGTCACTCGCTGCCGGGGCCCGGCCCGGGGGCCGACAGCGCGTGCGGAGCCGCCCCTCCCCTCCCCTCCGCAGCTGGCGAGGTGCCTTGGGCGCCGCTCCCGGCCCCGCTGCTCCCAGGCACAGCGCCCCCGCCCCCCTCAGCCGCCCCCGCCGCTCACCTGAACCAGCCCGAGACTTTGCTGGGCAGGTTGAACTTGGGCGGCTTGTACTCGTCATCCTTGATGGATAAAGGCAACATCTTGCCGGCCGGCGTCCCCGGAACAGAGCGGGGCAGGCTGGGAGCGGCGCGGCTGCAGCGCCCCTTCGCCGCGCCGGGATCCGCTTCCGGCCCTCACCTGCCCTGCGCCTGCGCAGGCGCCACGAGGGAAAGTGGGCGGGACCAGGAACCCTAGTTCCGTGTTTGAAGGCGGGCGGAACTAGACAGGATGTGGAGCACGATTGGCAGGGCAGGGCGGGACGGTTGGCGAAGGAGGCCTGGGGTAGGCTGCCGGGGCTGTATGTCTGGATGCCGCGGTGCGATTGGCTGCGATGGGCGCCGGTTGCTAAGCTACGTCAGCCAGAGCCCGCTGAGCCGAAATGCCCGGGACCTGCCTGCCTCACCGAGTGACTTCGCCTTGACCGGCCCGTTGTCAAGACTCCTCTGCGGGACGCCCAGACGTGCCTCCGCGCCAAACCGAACCACCCCTTAGTGCTGCGTCGCTTTGCGGCTGGCACGGCCCCGTGGCCACTGCAGCGTGAAGAGCCGCTCAGTAAAATGATTTGCCTGCACAGCACCATCTTTTGACAGGCGGGGAAGGAGGCAAGTGGGTCTCTCCTTCGTCCGCCGCCCCCTCC